GGCATCTATTTTCACCTAGCACAGGCCTGCAGGTGCCTCTCTTGCTTTCCATTGACTACAGAAGGTGTCTTAGTTTAGACTACTTTAAACTCCATACCTAAAAGTGGCCAAAGTTAGATGAAAGGAATCCATCCCTAATACTCCAAATATCTCTCTCAAGAGTCCTGGATTCAAGTTAGTTAGATCCACTAATTTAAAACATCTGGCTTTTTTAGATCATGTTCAAAGTGTGGTTCAGTTACTGCTGGGCAGAGGGTATTTCATCACCGTTGTAGCATATAAATGCATCTCATCTGTATTTTTATATGAACAGAATAAATTAATTTTAATAGCTCTTTCTTATTGTACTATTATTCAGAATTCTGTCATTCCTACCTAATAACGCACTGGACTGTACAGTCATTTAAACAAGTTCTCCGCTGCCTTGGAATAAGATTCACTCCATTAGGTATCTAGAATGTAGATGTGCTTTAAACTTGTCCTCCCATTATAGCGCAAGGAGACCAGAAAATACCATCAGTAGAGACTGAGGTGCCTTACCTTTGCTTAAATGTCTAAATTAGGAGAGATGAAACACAATAATCTATTCCTCTTCCTTGACTATTGGGTGACTATTTCCCATGGGTGCGTCCACAGTGTAAACATTAAAATTACACTGATTAATGACTTTGCTGAATCTTGTTCCTCTGTGGCCTGATTTTGGGTGCTTATCTTTCTTTGTTCTTACTTTTAAAAATTACTTTAATCATCTTCTCAGAAGTCTCATTAGCTTCATCATAAAAAACTGACCTCAACTCTGTAGGTGATGAGGCAATTCAAACTTCCTAGGCCTTTTTTACATGAAAATAATAATGATATTCTACAAAACCAAATCCTTCATATCAAAGTCAGAAATTAACTTCCATAATAGCAGAAATTACCTTCTGCAACAGTTTACTTTTTATCTTTCTGCTTTTGCAAAATAAGAATGACCAGGAATATCAGTTACACATTTTTCACTTGTATATACTTTGAATCTTTCAAAATATCTGAATTCTTTCAGAAGGTATACTATGAGCAGTTTCACAAGTGCCTATACACATCACTATCCTCACTCACTTCAGAAGCATATCCCAATCTATAGCTTGCCAGCATAACCAAAAGAGTGTGACTGTAACACAGAGATAGCTTGATGTGGTGACAGGGTCTCTAGGACAATGATTTAAATACTCTTTCCTGCTCTTGAGATGATTTGAATTCTTCATTCAGAGCATGTTTAGACTCCTTTTCACTACTGAAGTAATTGCCTTTTCTCATCTGCCTATGCCTTGCAGAACAGTCTTTCTACAATTCACCTTAATAGAGTAGCCCTACAAAACCCCCTGTACTCTTTAGTGGACTGATGGAGATCTTTTCATGCTCAAGCTTGACTATGCTAAGGTTTCAGTAGCAGTCATCTCTAGGTAGGTATCTTTGCCACAGCTACATTTTAACAGAGATTTTTTGCTCTTTCCATGAAGAATGTGGTTATGGCTGGATGCTTCCAGTTTTATGTGACTTTTTTCTATTTCTCTTCCCTCTAACTGTGATAGAGTCCAAGTGTGAAGAGTGTTGCCTAATACTCCTGCTTATCTTGGCTATAAACTGCCAGTCCTCCACTGGATTTCTCTTCTCCCTTGGTTTGTGGATAGCTATGTTCAATTTTAAATTCAGGCTGATGCCTGTTCCTTAGTCCGATATCTAAAAATTTCTCCTGCTTTCTATAGTGTCTCACATGTCATCATTAGGTCTTTGAAAATTCAAATATCTTTTCCAGCACAGACATGATTTTTTATTTCTGAAAGAGGAAATATTTTGTGGTGTTTGTTAGAAAGAAAGCATTGATTCATCTGTCACAGGTCATAACCATTGTTCTATTCCCAGTCATAAGAATATTGAGTGTGGAACTGAACATAAACTGCCTTTCTAAACTTCCTCCAAAATCATCCTGCTGGTTTACTCAGAGTTTCATATGGCAACTGACATACACCAGTATTTCCCAACCTTTTTGTCACATAGACTTGCTTGAGAAAACAACATATTTGGGATGTTGTTACAAATAGGTGAAAGCTTGGAACACTGCTTTCCTCTCACAACTGTGTCCATATACGTGTTGTTTTGTGATTCGCAAATACTATATGCAGCAGTGGCAAAACGTGAAATACGAGAATCTGCCTGAAATTACTTTCCCTATATAATTTTATTCCTGGTTTCCTGGGCAGAAACATGTATATACATATTGTGTAGTGAATGGTCAGAAAGCCTGATGCTTTGAGAAAGTCTCTGACCAACTGTTCAAGCAGTCAGCAACCGTGTCATTCACGCAGAGTAAATGTTTCCCTGAAGCATCAGGCTTTCTGTGTCTGTGAACACAGCACATGAACACGTGCAGACGAACACCTGGGCTTATGCATGTACTGCAACCTAGTCACAACTACAGCAGCTGTGATATTAATCCAACTGGGCATGATTACCAAATCACCAGATATCTCCTAAAGGAATGAAAAACTATCAAAGGAACTCAGACAAAATTTCTAGGTCCAAAAACATAATTGGTGCTGTAAAAATCTGTATATAACAAACTCTACATAAATACAAAGTATGATTTCAGTCAGCTATTCACTGGAGGGGCAATTTTGTCATGAGCAGCATTGTGCCCAACAGCACAGACACAGCCCTGTAACTACTGCCTCACCTGCGCCAGGCAGACCAACTGAACAGACCAGGCAAGATTCAGCACTGTACTGACTCTCACATTTGACCAACTAAATCTCTTCCACCCACTCTCCTTGCCATTTGGGAACGCCTCTTCAGCCTTTCTTAAACTCCAGTTATTAACTCTTGATGGCAATTACAACTACAGCATAGAAGTCAAGCTCATAAGTGCTGGTGGATTGGGCAGCTGTGCCCTGAGCTGTCATGGTGCATGTGTTGATTTGCTTCATGATCTGCTCTGCTCTGCTCCTGCAACATGGAACAAAAGCACTTGGACTAGCACATCTGGAGGAACTATTACAGGTCCAACAGAGAGTATTTTCTCTGACTGCCTACGATGCTTCACTTGTTATATGGACATCGTCACTGGATAGGAACCACCAAGTCTCACTGGTCTGACATATCCTCCAAAAAGGCCTATTTGTTGTTTCACTTTGCCATTCTATGTATAACACAACACAGAGGCTTTAGGAAGTGGTAAGAGACATCACAGAGGGATAATTGCTAACTAAACCAGGCTTTATTTAGGGTTAGAAACTAGACGACCATATGTACTGTCCTCTTGGGAGAACTCCATTCCTTGAAAGATTGGGACAAAACCAAACAACACACTTTTTAAAAAAGGGTTGAGCCTGTACTGCGGCCATAGTACTAGAATAAGGCAAATCATCTGTCACTGAGCTCTTCGCTATCTAGACAGGTAAGAAGACTAAAGATAGCTCAAGAAAGCTAGCTCAAATGACCTCTCACTGCACTTTTGTCACTTTATGGCCTAGGAGAACAGGTTTTTCATAGGTTATTAACATGGATCTCCAAGCTATGATAACTTCAACACATATGATGATATTGGATTCTCTCTGACTATATTCCATTTGAAAGGCAAATGCATTTTTCAACATGCCCCACAGTCCTCATGTCCAATTGTTCATCAATATGTTTCTAGTTCTGCACTTGTTGGTGTAGGGGAGTGGTTTGTTTGGTTGGGGTTTTGTTTATGCAGACCAAAATGTATGCACCCAGGTTTAGTCCTAAGCTGCAATCAGTATGTGGCCAGGCTATGCACTTGGACATAAGAGATGAGAACTGCTCTAGGGTCAGAATTGACTTTATACAGTACCACTTATGACTTAAAACTTCCATAATAAAATGAATGAAAACAACAGAAGACAGGAGGGCAGAAAATGGTTTGTGGCATTTGAATGGAAAGATAAGCAACACTAAAAAGCCATCAGACATGAGTTTCAAGTTGAGCTGCAGTACTGTCTATATTCCCCTTTGCTGTGTACCCAGAATAATGCAGCTGTGGTGGGAAGATGTTACTTACCATCACTGAAAGGGCATCTTAGATCTGACTTAGTTCAAGTATTGGCACTTAAACTGAGTCTTTCAGCATTTTTGACCAGTAGGTCAAGTAAAGACATAGCCAACTACAGATATATGTATGATATTACAGGACCATTAGACTGTGCCAGAATTGAAACTGCTTGCAATAAAGAGCACAATCATTACTGCAGACAGAAATTCAACATTAATAGTAACATTACATCATACATCATACATCAGCTCTTACTTGCAATACATCTACCTGAACATGAAGTAAAATGAAAAATCTGCAAACAGTAAATCTTTCAGGAAATATATGAAAAATGAGAGCTCCTACAATCTCCATCTCTAAGGCCATAATCCTTATCTCTCCTATGACAGGAATAACTCTATAGGCTTCAACTAGTGAGTTATAACTTTCCTACAAAAATCTTCTTGACAAAAAAATTCTTTCTAAAGTAAGGTCTTTGCTGAATGTGCTCATACTTAACTCCTAAAATAAGATTTTTTGTAAGTAAATGCATAATTCACTCAAACAACTCCAGGTAAACTAAGCCTTTGTATTATCCCACTTTAATTTGTCCCCAGATCCAGTTATACTCAGTTCCTAGGCAACCTTCTGCCATACTAGGCAACTACCAATTAAGATAACCCGTCTTTCGCAGATGTCAATTGAGAATGACAAAATGCTGCTGTGATGTCACTACCAGTCTAGGTCAATCAAGTCAAGTACCCTAGAGGTGAATGTCCACATCATATTTCCATTCCTAACAACCACCTACCTGTAATAGCTTTAGCACTGAAATTCATTACCTAACCAAACATTTTTAGGATAAAGTTCAGAAAATCTGACGTACGTAGCAGTATTCAAGAACTATTTCAAATGAGAGATCTATTCTTTTGACTATGCCAAACACATTCAATAATCTGAACTTCCATCTCACCTTCATCACTCCATTATCATACATGGTGATACAGTTGTTGGGATCCTCTGAAAGTTGATATAAAGCCTGCGCTGTAGCTCTGTGAACTAATGGATCACTTGACTTCAAGTAACGTACTAAAGGAGCTACAGCCTCGGTGTCTCCAAAGGTAACTCTGTTGTTCTCCCACATGCAACAGCGTGAAATGGCCTCTGCTAAGTGAAATCTTAGCTTGTCATTGTTCTGAAGAAGGCAGAAAAATCACAAATTAAAGACAACACAATACAACAAAAATTTCATAGGAAAGTAGAACCATATTTTCAAACATCTTTAAGGCATCCCAATTTAACTGCAGTACAATTAAAAACTGGAGAGAACTATAAGACATGGAGCTAGTAGTCCCTTACCATTCTCTTTGTAGGGAGTGCTGTGCACTTTTACATTATACCAAAGATGCTTTCAGACTGACTGGAAGTTAGATAAAATTAGCATTAAAATATAACATATAGCCCCATCATTGATATGCTCTGCATGGTTCAGACTTACTGCTCTCTCAATCTTTTGTGCTTTTTTCATATGACAGATGCATCTCTCAAAAGCAATATTCAGCAAGTGACTAATAAAATGAAGCTCATCTTCCAAAGCAATTTTAGTACCAGTCACAAAGTGTTTTCATGTCAAATATACAACCCAGAGAGGAAGGATTCTACAGTTCTTCCTTGTAGCTGCCTCAAAATCTACTGCTCTTGTCATAACCTTTTAGTCGGGTATAATGCAGTCTGACATAAGGAATTCAGACACTTAGAATAGCATTTTAGATGTTACTTACCGTGTTTACTAGCTTGGACAACCGAGGGACGACTCCAAGTTCTGTTATAATACCTAAATTTACTTCATCTTTAGCTATAATTGTAATGGCTGCACATACACTTGCTAAAACTTCTTCATTGTTTGACTTTAGCAAATTGAGTATCAGGTACAAGCTACCATCCAAGGATCGAACCATTTCTCCAGCATCCTGAATGAGAATCAAAAGAAACCTTTTTTTAATAGTCAATCTGTATGTACATGCAAATGTTTAAAAGAATACATTGGCATGACATAATTATTCAAAACTGCAGCTATTGCTGTGTTGTCTTCACCAAGAAATATGGCTAATTTGGAACTCTGAGCTCTCTTGATTGACATACGAGTGAGAATGTATAACATACCCCCACCTAGGCAGAAATTCAATGCTTAAATAATGGTATCTAGTGTCATTTTAGATACCACAGGGTACTCTTTATGGCCTCAAGCTGTCACTCCAAAGAGCGCAAGTCTCCTTTATCTGCTGTATCATATTTGCCAGGTGGGTGCTCATTTACCTTGGGGCATCTAAAACAGCAACAGACACCCCTGCTCAGACTCTCAGAGTGCCTTCTACTTCCTACATTAAGTCTGACAGCTAAGACAAAAGAGTGATATTACTATTTTCTTGTATCAATGCAAATGAAATTCAGGAATATGTAAGAGGGGAGGTTACATAAGTCATGATGGCAACTATGGGACAAGCATGGTACACCTCAGAGTATGAACAACCAAAATATGACTAAAGCATCCAAACACGTCTCTGGAAAAATGTCTTAACTGTGCTCTTAGAAAAGAAACAGAAAACTAAACCAGTGTGCCGTGATCTTGAATACCGATTTGGTCCAACTTGAAAAACTATAGCAAAATCAGAAAGATGACAAGAATAATCAAAGGTAGGGAACTGCTCTTTAGAAGAAATGAATAACCAACCATGAAATTCAAAGCTATAAAAGACAAAAATGAGAAACGGTATGATAGAGATGCATAGAATCTTGAGTAAAATGGAAAGGGCACACAGGGACCTCTCTTCTAGGAAGAGACCTGGGAGCATCAGATGGAAACTAGCAGGTGACATGTTCAGAATATAGTTTTTTTTCAAAGTATAGATAAAAAGGTTGAAGTCCTTGAAGTAGAATTGTATTGGATGTTAGAAGCTGAAATTAACTAGACAAATTCACAGAAAATCCTCTGATTTAGAAAATTCATGAGCCACATATTTCTTGAAGGTGGAAGAGCATTTTGAGGAGAGAACCATAGCTACAAGTTTGCCCTGTTTTTCTACCTTTCCTTAGGCAACCCTTGTGGACTAGTATGAGAAATAGAATCTTGTGTTAGTGAACCTTTGGTCTGACATATCTCACAGTTTTATGCTTATTAGTGAACTCAAATTATCAACATATGTTAACCATGAGACTGAACTAATGGTTATAGAATTTATTTGCCTCAAGCAAGGAGGAACTGACAGTATCTGATAAAGTGACATGCTGTACACAGTACTTCGTGTACTCTTAAAAACACACTGGGTATATATCTAAGTTTTGTTTAAGCACAAATGCTTAACTGATTAAGTTATAGTCACCAACCAATGCTGTACGCCGTAAGTCATTGCACTATGTTAAAATGAGATGCTTGAAAAGAAACATATCTCTTTCTCTGGTAAGATGTTCCAACACGTAAGTTCACGTCATTTTAAACAATGTCTATTCAGTTTCCTCATGGACAGAAAGAATGTCAGAACAGAAAAACTCTACGTTTTTGAAATTTTTTTTTTATATCTTCATTCAATTTCTGGGTAGCTCTAAGCAACATTTTGCCAATGAGCATCTTAGAAGAGGTTCTCAGGATGCCTAGTTATGCAGCGCCTGAAACACAACACAGCAGGGTTTTCAGAAACTTCACTGCAAGCATTATTAAGAAAGGCGTATGGAACTTCAAGCATCTAACCTGAGGATAGCAGGTATTGCAATGTAATCTGGAGAAATCACCATTTCTACTAGAATTGGTTCATCAGTTACTTTAGTTGAACAGATCTCTATGCTAGGCGTAGATAGTGATGTTTTATCAGGATGTCTTTATACAGTCTATAATCCAGCCCAATGAAATTCTTATTAGATTTTTAACGTTTCAGATGTGGATCCGGACAGATGACCAGTTCTCTTAAAGTTCTTTGTCCATTGAATATTGAAAGCAGTGAATGAATTAATTATGGCTAACTCTGGGATTTCTGTAGAAATTAAGACTTAAACACACATAAACTATAGGTGAGAAACCACTGTGGGCAAAAACTTCAGGTATTATTGACAGTCATCTAATTTTTATGAAACTGTTTAATAAAATTACGTCAATAGTGCCCAAATAGTACCCTTCACAAAGGTTACTGAAAATAGGAACTGAATATAGGTCGGAGCTGATTCTTTGTGACATCATGGCGGCACATTTGCAGACTGGTATTACACTGGAAAAAGAGTAAAAGTGAGTAGCCAAATGGTTAGCAGAAACTTTGGAGAAGAAATTTTGGCTGGTGCACCACAGTGATGGTAAACATTCAGAGATGGCAAAAAAAGTCTGAAAGTGGAATTACTTTCATTTGCTTCCTTCAACAGGTCAACAGGAGAATTTTGAACAAAAACTACCTAAAGACCTAAAGACCCTTTTGGACTGAAAGGTCTTAGGACTTCATGAAAGTGTAAACATGGATAGTAAGAACTTTCTGAGATCTAGGGAGTGACCCTGAGACCAAGAATGATTTTGATTGTTTCTTCTATTTCTTTCGGGGGGCTGATTCATGAACAGCGTAGGGTCTGATTGTTTTGTATTTGCTTTGCTGAGCAAATTCATCAAATTGCTCATGGACCTGGCATCCAGAAGATGTTGCAGCTCATCTTTTTTTAGTCCTTGGTCTAAATGCCAAACAGAACTCTTAGCTGTGATGCTTCCTTTTCACAAAAAGTAAAAGCCGTGGTTAGGCCCACCAGGAACAAAACGTTTTCCACCATGGGTAGTGCAGTTCGTGAGACTGGAAGAGAGAGGTCAAATCCAGGAGCCACAGCATGCAGAAAACAGGTAGTATCTCAGAGCAATCTTTGTGCTTGGAATTTTCTGGTTCATATTGTGCTGCACGTAAATAGAAGTGGGCTTATGGCCTGTTTGCCATGGGGCCGCTAGCATAAACGCTTCTCTGTCATTATCAGTGTATTCCTACCACAATGTGAATGTATCTACAGACAAACACCTGAATAAAAATAATATTTCTCAACATTGTTTTTCATGTCTCTCTTGAAATTTCAAAATTTGCGCAAAGGCAGTAGACAATGGGTTACAGAGAAAGACTTCCACACATAAATTTCTTATTTATATGTATTAGAGGGCTAGACAGCTAAATAACCTAACACAGGACAAGCATAGAAAATAAGGTATTTTACACTTACATAAATTCCTTGAAAATTATTACAGCAGTGTGCATCAGCTTGTGTCTAAACATCAGGCCAACAAATGAGAAAGGCTTCTGTTCAACAGGTAAACTCTATGGCAAAGTGCCTAAGATTTGAAAGGGGTTCTGCTTTTCTGCATGGTGTCTAATACACAGGTATCTGTGTATTAGTATTCATGCTCTTGAAAGATGTTTAATGAAGAGATAAGATAATCCGTATCCCTTAATAATGAACTAATGAACAAATACATTTTATATTTTGCCCCCTGCATATATTTTAATTCCAGGTGATTATAATCCTACTTGCTAAATTTCTCTTTTGACAATTTTTTCCTCATTTCGTAAAGGAGTAGATCCAATTAAACTGATGGAATAATATATAAACAATCCCACAGTAAGTAAAAGAAAAGAGTTTCAATAATCTTCTGTGAAATCAGCTAAACATAAGGACAGAATCTTCTACCAGTGATGAAAAGCAGAGGGAAACTGCAGAAACCACATGTCAGGAGAGTTTCCCAAATGTGATTGTGGGTGTAGTCTGGTGCTCTGTGCAAGACAAAGAGAAATGCAAAGAAGCAAGAAATATGAAGAACAATGAGCAGAAAGAAAGACTGAAATGAGAGCTTCAAAATCCATTATGTTACACATAAGATCTTTTTTTTCCCCAAAAATCTGTAAACAACAAATGCAATTTATTTGGTATCATTTAGCAAAACTACATATTTGCTTTGTACAGTAAATTCTACTTTATTTTTTTTTACTGAAAGTTATGTATTTATTATATACAATTGACATACTTCAAAGATATTTAAAGAAGAAATTACATGAAGTTGTGCCTGTGATTGCAAAGGTCTGGATTCAATTATTTTGAATCTATGTTCTTTCAGTATACTTGTATTAATGATCAGATAGCTATTTGTAAAGACTAACATAATTTGTGTGATTTTAGTTTCCAAATACTCTCAGGCATTTTCACCTATACTTATTTTGTAACTTAAGAGCAGAAAAATCATATGTAACGTGGTTTTGGAAACATTTTTTTACTTTTTGTTTCATGTTGAAAAAATGTAATCTTAAATTCCACCTTCTAAATTGACACACAATATTTCTGTGTATCTTAACCCAAAGGGTTTGTCATTCCCAGCTATTAGCGTGTGTTAAGCTCTCATATTTATCTAAAGACCTTAAACCTCACTGCAGATATGTAAATGGAATTATTTTAAAGCCTGAGTAGTTTGCTACTGGGTAATGACATGATTTTGATATTGAACTTTAAGTGGAAAATGTTCCATTTCAAGCCCAAGACTAGATCTATACTTTAGCATTTTCATACTCAAGTTCTAATCTATTAATACAACCATTAAACTACATTTACCTTCATGTTACATATGAAGTTATTCAAGAAACTTTAAGTATTTTGAAAAGCTCAGAGAACATAGAATACAGCTACACAAAAACCAGCTTGAAAGAACAGAAAAATGCATTTAAGTAAATTTAGGTAATTTGCTCCTCCTCTTTTCATTGTGACAACACCTTACTTCTCAGTTATCCTAACAAGGCTACTCAGGTCGAGTCAGGCAGCAGAAAAAAATTGTATCATAAGAATAAAGCCTAAGAAACAGCCTTTATAGATAAAGTTATTGATAAAATCCCTGATATGAATAAAATAGAAAATGCTAGAGTATACGTCTGAGGGTAGCTAACGATAGGTCAAATGCAAAGACATTTAAAGAAGCAAT